AACGGAGATGTCACTTTTTACCTCAAATCTCAAAACTCCTCATTTCTTCCAGAAAGTGAACTCATCTTCGGGGAGGAGAAAGTCGCTGAGCAGGAGTAAGACAAGTACTGATCGAAAGTTGAACCTATCTCAACCAAATGCTCCATGAAGTACCCGATATCAAACCGACACCAGTTGTAGGATCATGGGCAACTGTGGGTGAATCACATCACATTCACTCTCGCACACTGAAATGTAAGGATCGAGCGAGTGAAATAAAGTTGTGGAAGCATGCGACAACGATGAGAAATGATGTAATAAAGATGGGAACGTATAAGACGAAGGGGAGTAACTAAGGGAGATATCGTAGGTGATCCATCACAGTAACTGGCATTGTGGACAGAATGCATTAGTCACTTTAGGAATTACAGTGATAAATCTAATTTTTGGTATTCAGTAAATCAGTTTCGATTTAGACCTGCCATTCAGATGAAATGCCGCTTATTCCTTTGTTGTGCATGGGGACAATTGTTAAGCATCTTTTCCAGCATCCCTTTCAATACCCGCAATGGCCAAGTTTCTGCACCGTAGAGCTGAATTTGTCTAACTGCTGCAGCATATGCTCGACCCTTCACAGACTACCGGACGTCGCGAAGGCACCACAGATATCTCAAGTTGGCACATGACAATCGACCCTTCTGTACGCGTGCAGATACTTCATCTGTGACGCATCCTCCAGGTGCAATATAACTACCCAAATAAAATGTGTCTACTTCCTCTACTAACTCCCCAGTGAGGTTGGGGATAGGCCAACCCAACCTGGTGGCAACATTTTACACTTTGAAGGTGCACAACGCATACTGAACAAGATTACGCTGGCACTCAAACTATCCAGAAGAGCGTGCAGCTTACCTGAGTCATCACTTAGCAGCACAACGTCGTCTGTGTACTGTAAATCAGACAGTCCGCCAAATGGGAGCAAATCAATGCCGCTATCCCCGCACGAGGATAGGTCTGTTTCCATAATCAAATCCATAACAAAGTTGAATGGAGAGAGAGAGCAACTCTGACGAACACCAATTTCCATAGTGAACTCGGGCGAAAATGTGCCGTAAGCTCGGAAGATTTCAAGTGCGGGGTGAGCGTTTCACTCTGAGGTTCTACCAACGTAATGGGTTTATCAAAGTACACAAACAGCAGTACTTTGTGAAACTTGAAATATGATGTGTAAATTGACCGTTTAAAACTCCAAACAAAGCACACTGACAAAGAACATTTGTACGAAGTACCATTGTGCATGTGTTGTGGGTATGGATAATAATCAAGTATAAAAGTACCAGTTGATTAAATAAACAAAACCCGAACTCGAACGTCTACTACGGGGTTATAGGTTCAAACATTGCTCGGATTCATCGGTCGTCGTTCTACTACGAGCACACGAAATCGGATTGATTATATTAGATTCTAGTTGGCAACGGTGAATACGAGTGGTGAGTGGACAGTGTCGACGTTTCATGGTCGTTGTCGCTTTTCGAAAACTCGCTTGACAGTCGACTCAAGGGGATTTATACCCAAACATGGACACAATACAAATAAGAAGGAACACTGTACAGCAGGACTCACAAACACGAAGACAGCAGTTATAGGGAACCGTTTAAAAACAAGTGTTCTTTAGTATTTTTCACCAATCTATTTTTCCCACTCCACCACCGTGAATCCTAGCAAATATTTCGTCAGTTTCAAAGGTAATACTTTGATTTTCGGACGTATTAATTCCACTGGGCAAAAAGTGTATGTTGGGCTGTAATCTGTTTGGCATACAGTCAGAACTCAGACGTGTGAAATATTATAATAATAATAGTAATAATAATAATAATAAAATACCAATATTGCAGAATCAAAGACAAAGATTTACGTCTGAAATATGTCGATTTGATTGATTCATACTACAAGAGCAAGAGAAGTGCAACTGAACATTCAGCGTTAAATGCCGTTTGTGGAGGAAATAAAGTCTTCGGCTGACGAGATGAGTATGATTATTACATAACCAACGGATTGGGAATAACACGAACCCAACGGGACTTGAATTGCATAGATACGTGACGTTACACCAAGGTTGACCCATGATGGATACGGTACCATCATTGTCCATTAATCGATAAAACTCTTCAACCGTCAAACCAAATAACGCTGAAGTGTGTATTTCCAGTTAGAACTACGGCTGCGACTCCCTAAAAAATGGGCTTATGATTATTTTGATTTAACCGAAGACAAATGAGGCTGCGGCACTGCATAAATAAACGATAAATCGAGGTATACGATGCATGGACTAGTTAGGTAAAAACATGCCAACAAAGTTCAACTCACCTTGATCGCCACCGGATGAATTGGTGCACCAACTTCAAAACAGCCTTTCTTGAACTTCATCACCGATGTGTTGTTGATACACGTACCCTCGGGGAAGATGAGCAACGGCTCAGAGTCCGGTAGATTCACATGTTCCTTCAGACGAGCAGCCGTCAGATGTCGATCAAGCACCTCAGATCGATCGAACCAGACAGCCGGGACCGCGGCGGATATGATGCGTTCGACCAGGCCGAAAAATCCGGCATGTTTCTGCCCAACCTGTTTGACGGCATGTAGATAGAGGTACACTGATTATGATGCGCAATGAGCACGGGGTGGAATTACCGCTAAATGCAATAAACAAGATCGACTGGGAAACGGTGGTACGCAGCTTTTTGTCACCCACCTGAACACTTCACACATCCTAGGGGGGGCACATGTGGCTGGTCACCTGGAGTTGAAGCCTTGGGATGCTGTTTCCCATGACAGAACGACAGGTCTCTGTGTATGGGAGTCACTCTTTCTACTGCTTATCAAACTCACCTCTGTAATTAAGAAAAACTGGCATGGAAAAAACAGGCCAACACTACACCATGGTAGATCGAAACGAGTACATGGATCTACTGATTTCGAGTCGTAGAAATGAGCCCATTTCAAATGGGCATCTTATTATCAATATCTCATTGAAATCAATTTCGCATAAAATCACAGACGGAAAACCTACATGTTCAACTTTTTCGAACTACTGCAATCACATTGGAAGTATTTGTTAATGGCTTTTTTGTACGCGTACTTGTGCGTTTGTGTCACGTATAATGTCAGCAAGGATACTTTTTCATATAGTAAGAAATTTTCCACTCGCTCCTTCTCTCATGAGGCTCCTCTTCGTCTGCAGCACGAACTATACACGGTCACGTGAGTATGCACTGCTGAAACTGGTAATTGTGAGACAGCGCGTAATGTGATTCACGATATGCGTTACTCAAATACATGATGGCCTCCATACAATCAACATCACACTCGGTAGACGACTAAACATTCGCTGAGTAAAAGATCCATGTAGGCATAATTTGCCACGCACAAAAAGGGTCCACGATTGGGATGGTCAGCGTCAGATTTAATTTACAAACAAGCTAACTTATCCTTTCGATGTGAGTACCGTTTCCGGTTACAGGAGGAGTATTGGCTCAGTGAAAAATTTGATCATATTCCCCACTTTTTCCAGATCGTTCAGTAGTCAACGATTACAGTTTGAGAGCCACGATGGTGGGCACGATGAATACACCTGGACAGCACGTCCATACTCCCTCCGTTTTACGTTTTAAGCCGGTCACGTGACTTGGTAGCCTAGCGTGAGTCTGGTGATCATGTATGTGTGCTCAACTCAGAATTACTGCTTTCAAATGATAGTATCAACTTTCGCCAGAGTCCCAGCAGAGGGAAAAACGAACACAAACTCTCAACAAAAGAATAAGACGATCCAGGGGAATCACTGCGATAAGCTCAAAAGAGGTCTAGCATCTACAAGTCATTGGCGTCTATAGAAGTGAGACGGTAGTCATCTGATAGCGATTTTATAACCGTTGTTCATAGCAAAACAATCATCATGAGTGGAATATGCAGATGACATCTGCACTGTTAGGCTGAATGTTCGGTTGAACGTGGAACACTTAGCATATGGATCAAAGCTGCGCACGAAGGAGATCCGAGTGCAAAATCGCAGAACCACTTCTGAGTCATGTTGATAATTATCAGACCGGGCAGTTTCTTCTTAGCACTCTGTCTCACACGAATGCCATTTAGGAGAACAACTCCATCTCCGGGCTGAATTGGTTAGGCTGGCGAAAATAACCAGCAACAGTGAGTTTTTACCTGGTTCTTTTTCACGTGAGTGCACGCGCGCACGCGGGTACCAGTAATGACAACAACCGAATATTTTGCGGTGATGGGTTGTACACAAATAAGAACTACAGCCGAGTGCGGGAACACAGCGGAGCATAAAACGTGCATCAGGTTAACAAACGAAACACGAAACTAGACATCCAATACATATGTGCACATATACTCACATATGTATGTACCTAAATACAACCCGATTTTACCATCAGTGAAATTGGCCGCAGCGAGTTAACAGTCGGATAACGTGCAACATTACGCAGCTAAATATGATAAATACACGACCGTTCATTCGGGTCCGTTCGGAACGTGATTAAGAACAGTATGCACCGCGGATTACATGAACACCGTGTCTGGCGCACAGAGTTATGTCGCGTCAAATCATGAATGGTGAACAGTTATGGTCACGAGACTGGCCTAACACAAGCACTATTACAAACAAATTGTAAAGGAAGAGTAATTTTATTGCCACACTGTATATGATCTATTCGTTTCACGTTGGCTGATTGTGAAGTGTATAACAGTATGATATCAATCCATAAGGGACCATGACTGACAGGGTACAGACAAACTATTGGTGATACAGAAAACCCGATCGAACAAGCACAAATAAGACCAGGATCAGTTACCCTGAACCAGACATCCGATCTGTACGCGCGTGTGTGTGAGAGAGAGAGTTTACTCTATTACGGCTTGTATTCGTGCGCGGACGGTGAGCACGGCGCAACGAAACGTCACACCCAAAACGAGATGGAAATCTGAATAAACCGGGTCTGTATTTCTAGGACGAAAAAAAATTAAAGACCATGCTACAAGCGAACCCGAGTACATCATTTATGCACGCCCGTGTGATGCTAAAGATGACGCGTGCACAATCACGTAGATACCGAGCCGTTACGCTCTTCTTTACTGGTGCATCATGCGCTTGCGTAACCACTTATGTAAACCAAAATCAATGTCATGCCCATTCCGTAAAAACGTTGATGATAACCGCGTATACAATTAATGGATGGCCAAAATCGAAATTAATTGCAAAAAAGTGAGAGAAAATCGAAAGTTGAAATGTGAATTCATAATCACTAGGTGACAAAAATTTTGATCAATGTCGTTGTTAGTCTTAGGCATGACGAATATGCGACGAAACATCTATGGAGTGTCGTTATATGTTGTCTATGTATGACAAAAGAGACATGCAAATTAATGGCAATATAGGGCACCAATCTATTGCTCAAATTGTTCGCTTTTTCTACCTCACGTCAATAATAGCACACAAGATGAGGGGATATGGTGTACAGAGTGAAACTAACTATCAAACACAGGGCCGCTAGTCTACCCTCCAAAAACGCCTTCTCCCAAAAATTTTGATTAAGGAGAACGTTT